AAAAAAATATGGTCCTCAGATTTTTGTTATGACTGTCTTGATTTTTAATTTAAAAATTTAAAATAATTTTCTTTTAAGACCTATGATTTTTCAGCCTTTTTGCTTCAACAAGCTCACTAATACCTTCTTATCTCCTAGTTTGCAATGAATCCATTTTATGAACCCAACTCTCCTATTCGATCAAGCGCATTTGAGAGAAAAGTTCAGTTTCTTGGGAAGAAACATCTTTTAAGCTGAATGCCGAAAAATGTCAAAATGACCAATGTCACAGTGGTTTCTACTCAGGAATGTATACCTTGTAAGTAACTTGCTTAAATAGCCTGGAAAACTTGTACTTGTCTCGTTTATCTAAATCTAGTGGAACTTCCTTTATAACTTAAAAATGGTACATTGTTTCATCTTGGTTATCACCAGTATTTGTTTCTCATGTATTATTTATCAAGATCTTATCAATAATTTTGAAATTTTTGTACTTTAAAAGTTGAGAAGGTTTTGACTTTCCTTATCCAGATAGACAGATTTAAAAGTAAAAGATCAGGGAGGAAGACATGAAATTGTTGGCACACACAATCACTGGTTGTGCACTTGGAGATATGCTATAGACATTTGTAACACACAATACTGCCTAAGCAGCTGAAGCAAAATGCATTTGCAGTGCTAAGTGTTGTTTACCTCTCTCTGTCAAAGACTGGGAATAGTGTTCATGACTGCTATAATATTAGACACCCGGACCCGTATATGTACAATGCACCATGCTGAAATATGTTGCCTCTGTTACTATATGTTCCTGTATTTCCATTCAGAAAATAAACTGGGACTTGAACAACCTGATTTCTACCTGTACTTGTAAAAAAGTTGTAACAAGGTTCAAGAACTGTTACTAAAGAAAAGTTTGGATTACATTAAGCTTCCTTTGCACTTGGCTTTTTAGGTTGTACACTAAAGGAAGCCAGTAGTTGTCTCTTCTGTAATATACTATGTGATTCCAATGTAAAATAATGAATATCCACAGAAAATCTGGCACTACTACTAGGAATTTTCTTTGCTTAATATGAGCACTTGAATTTTGTTCTATTGTGAATGACCTATGAGAAAGTGCTCTTAAGCTCAGACCTCCATCCTTGTTGTGAAGTTGCTGCCATGAGTATTTACTGTTACTTATTTAATTTCAGAAATAAACATGTTGTCCAGGATCATGGTATTCTGATACTCAACTTGAAAGTGCTGTACTCCAGCCCATAGTTTCAGTCCTATTTCCCCTATGAAGTCTACAAATGATTACATTAGCCCATTGCACATTTCACCTCCACTTATGTGCCAGAGTTTTAGGAACAGGGAAGTTAGATGCTCATGTAGATATCTAGGAATAATTTCAGCTTAGATGATTGCAGAGACCCAAAGTTGCATTTATGGTATATAGTTTGCCCCACCTTCAATGAGCATTTCACATAGAGGGCTCCAAAGGGATCCAGCCAGGAGCACAAGCATGGCACTAGGAGCCACGTGGGGGAGGAGCCTTGGGTTCAGGCCCCAGCTCAGCTGCATGACAGTGGTACCCTCAGATAGCCTTCCTTTACTCTAGGCCTGACAGGGTGAGAGCGGAGCGAGGAACAGG